CACCCCCGTCATTCCCGCCCCCGTAATTTCCGCGGGGACAAATTTTTGGGATCGTGCCCGGGGATTTTTTTTTGGGAATTGTTTGTCCTTCCTTGGAGCCGCGCGGTCCGGAGGGGGAGGGGATCGTTCCCGTTTTTTTTTAATTTGGGAATTGTTTGTCTCTCCTTGGAGCCGCGAGGCCGGGATGGTCCCCGCAGGGATTTTTTTGGGAATTTTGTCCAACCCGGATCATTCCCGGGGGGATTTTTTGGGGGGAATTGTTTGTCCAACTCGGATCCTTCCCGGGGAATTTTTTTTTGGGGGGAATTGTTTGTCCAACTCGGATCCTTCCCGGGGAATTTTTTTTTGGGGGGAATTGTTTGTCCATCCTTGCAGGGCTTTGTTTGGGTTTCCCGCCTGATAAGGGGCGCTCCAAGGCTCCGCTTTTCCCCTTTCCCCTCCCCGGATCCCGAATTCCTGGGATAATTCCAGGGATAAATCATCCCAGCGCACCCAGAGCGCCGGGTTTTATCCTAAAAAATGGGATTTGGGGGTCCAAAGGGGGTTCGGATTATTGGGAATGCGGGAGGACCTCAGATCCCAAATTCCTGGGATAATTTCTGGGATAATTGCTGGGATAAATCATCCCAGCGCACCCAGAGTGCCGGGTTTTATCCCCAAAAAAATGGGATTTGGGAGTCCAGAGTGGGTTGAAATCATCGTAAATTAGGGAGGACCCCAAACCCCGAATTCCTGGGATAATTTCAGGATAATTCCAGGATAATGCCCGGGATAATTTCAGGATAATTCCAGGATAATTCCCGGGATAATTCCGGGATAATTCTGGGATAATTCCTGGGAATGGGTAATTCCTGGATAATTCCAGGATTTTTTTTTTATTTTTTGAATTTTTTTCATGGGATTTATGGATTTTATGTGATTTATGGATTTGTTAATGGGATGTATGGATTTTTATTGCATTTATGGATTTTTTAATTTGATTTATGGATTTTTTTAAATGGAATTATTGGAAATTTTTATTGGGATTTGGAGTACTGTCACTTTTTTTTTCCTGGCTTCATCCCAGGGATTGCTTTTTCCTAAATTCCCTTTT